GTTTAGGGTTTAGGGTTTAGTCCTGGTGCTTTAGGCCCAGACAAACATGGCACGGAGCCCATGACTTTGGAATTGAACTTTCAGGAAAAGAAGCTTCCAGTTTGCATGCCCAGGGTTGCATCTGTTCTTCTTGTCTACTGAGGGTTTCAGAATTCAGAGTTCATCATAATTGAGATCGAGTTCATAGTTCAGGGATCCCTCGTCCAACACCACTCACAGAGGTAAAGACTTCTTACGATATCCGAGAATCATTTTGTACCGCATGCTGTGCAGCTGGCGCAGAGTGTGATGAAGCTTCTGTTGACGGCTCGACAATCGCCTCTGCTGCCCCATCCAGGACAATTGCGTGGCCACCTGCGAGTTCAAACGGAGCTAAACCCCAAAGCCCTTAGCCTGTTTTCTTGTCTCCTGCCTGGCTGTCTGGCAGGTTAAGGGTTAAGCGTTTATAATGTAGGGGTCTTAATAATTTCAATAGGGTTTTGCGGTATATTCTACTATAAATGTAATGAGGACCCCCCCAAAATAGTATTGGTAAGTAAAACAGCCCCTATATTATGTTAACCCGAAGCTCTCAGCAAGGGCCCCATTGCGTGAAGAGCGGGCGGAGGGATGATCTGAGTGAAAGTGACTGTACCCATTGCCCTTCTGCCAAACTTCGGCCACCTTAGCCTAAACCCCAAACACTAACTAAGTCTATACTCTATATATACATATATATATATATATACATGCATATTTTCTGTATTTATTTAGATATATAGATATAGTGCAGGTTTATGGGCTTCAAGACCCAGCAACACCCCAAAAAGAGACTGCCCTGCGAGCACCTGCGAGCTATTTGTGGGCGGCTGCCGCACCTCGGATAACCCACACAGCCCAGGGTTTCCCTGTCAGAACTTATGTTTCGGGTTTCGGCGCTCACACTCGGAGACTCCAGGCGAGGCATGTGGTTCGAGGTCTGCTGAGATGTGAAACAAGGGTGTAGGGTTGTGGGCTCAGGGCTTTCACGTCCTTGCAAAGTGCCGAAAAGGAATCTTGTGCTTCATGCTTCTCATGGCATGCATAAAGAGAGTTTGAAGGCTTCGTGTCTAAAACGAAAAACCGAGCTCCTGTGAAGCCACGCTGTTAACCATCGAACAACTGCAGACCTTACCGTCCGCTGCCCTCTTCAACCCTTTTTTGAGCACGGGCTTGGATTGTATGCCTCTTCAACCCTAAGCCCTAAACCCTCAACTCGAAACCCTCTTCCGGGCAGCGTCTGAAAACAACTTCAACGGAGAGCTTATAGGGCTCATTGGTGTTCCGGAAGATGGGATGCTCTTTCTTAAAGTATGTCTTAATGGCTTTGTGATACCAATAGTGAACCCAATACTGAACCAATAGTGTTTCCTGATCGTGATACTTCTACTGATACTCCTTGCTATTTACCCTAACCCTAAACCCTAAACCCTAAACCCTAAAACCTAAAACCTAAACCCTAAACCGCTAAACCCAAACTGCACTCTGGGATACTCATGCAAACGACTGGGGCCCTCCACCTGGGTAATTATATGCATGTCCACAAGTCGCGTCTGGAAATACACAGATGGATGCGTCTATGATTCAGCTAGATCTATCTATCTATCTATCTATATA